CCGCGGCCAGCGCTTTGCGGGGGGACAGGGCACGTTTTGGTGGTTGCGGAGAGGTCGCTGCCTCCCGCCGCCTCCTCCCCGGGCGAAGGGGCACTGGGGCTGGCGCAGGACGGGGAGCCCTGGGGCACTGCGAGCCGGAGAAGGAAATCTCATCCTTGCCCATAGGTGCACCCGGCCGTTGCCAGGGCACGAACGTGCATCCTTAATTACCAAGTGGTAGAATAAATGTTAAATAACAGAAGTTGACAAGGAATACCCAAAACACAGGGTAGTAGTGCGTTGCTGAAAGGGAATGTCCTTGCTGAAGTTCAGCAGCATGAATATGCTATTTCCAGACTGAAATACTTGTAATTTCATTAGATGTTCCCGATGAAATCCGGGAGGCGGAGGGGGGGAGGAACAAACAATAAGTAATCAAGTGCTGGAAGCTCTTTAGCTGAATTTCTTTCCTGAAGTGTCCCCCTTGTACCGGATAGCTGAAGAGCTAACTCTGTTCCTATTGGCCCTCTGGGGAGACGTTTAAGGAAAAAAAAGTTTGCAAAGGTTTCTACAAACCTTTCCTTCCTTCCTTCCTTCCTTCCTTCCTTCCTTCCTTCCTTCCTTCCACCAACATTGTTGGGGTCAGACCTTTGCACAGACAGAAACAAAAGACAGGTACAACTCGGGGAAAGGATCTGCCAGGAGCGGGCAGAGCGAGGGCAGGCACACGCAGCATCTAGGTCCTGGGGCAAGGTCTGAGGGCATCAGGCGACCTGTATGGCAAGTGATGTTTATGGCTTCTAAGACATATAACTACATTTTCTAGTAAAAAAAAATTGAAATAAGATTTCAAAGTGGAATATTTTGTGATCTGAGTGGACAAGTCAAAAAAAAAAGATGGGCAGATTCACGTGCAGTAAAACATATTTTTCATTTTTCCCCTACAGTAAGAGCATGGTTCTGTAGGGTGCTGAACATCTCACCAGCTTCTGTGCTCAGTCTGCTCAGTGATGAATTTTTTTTTTATGGGCATTCTTAGCAGGTGGCACAAAGGTACAAGCACTACACTACTACACTTCTCTGCACTCCGTTTCCATGTACAATTTTAATTTCCATTTTATGGACATGTGACCTCTCTGTAAATTGATGACTAGAGCTGGTTAGGAATTTTCTGAGGAAATGTTGGTTTTGGTTTTTTTAATGGAAAATGTTGACTTATCAAAACTTTTCACAAAAATAATTCCTTTTAAACAGAAACTTTATTTGGCTTGGTTCCCCCAAATCAAATGAAAGAGAAATTTGCAGCAGAAGACATTCACAATAGCTTGTGGTACCTGCTGTTGAGAAACCCTCACCTGTGACAGAAACTCATAAGCTGATGGGCTAGTTTGCAAAAAGAGGTGGAATATCCTCCCCCCCCCCCCCCCTTCATTCCACGGGCCAAAAAAAACCAAAGATACAGAAACTGGTCTATAGCCAAGTTCATAAGAAGGGTCATGCTTACTCTCTTGATAGTCAGGATGCTCTTCTTGAATGATAGAAAGTCCTTGTTCTCCCTGACTGTAGGCTCTTAGTGCTCTCTGTAGTTTACCAAGCTCAATGAATATTTAATCTAATATTCCAACAGGAGAGACTGAGAGACAGCCTCAGTACTGCCAGTATCAGTAGGCTGACAATTAAGGTTATGCCTTAACCAATGGGCTCTCCAGTTTAGGAGTGGATGGTTCCTCTCAATGTGGAGGAAAATTAGATTTCCAAAACTTCAGAATTTTTCACAGAGTAGAACTTGTTTTCTGGCCAACTTTCATAGTGACAGTTTCTTGGCAACTGTCCCTTTATTAACTTTCCTCCTCCACCCACCTTAATATTAATCAATCCTATTGTTTGCCTTATGGGCAAGAAAGAGGACTCTTACCACACGCTGCCATTGTGCTTACCTTGCTTTTTAAAAATATATGATCTTCAACAGCAATGTCTGGATTTTTACAATGTAGGCAAGGGGAAGTTATGCCATTCCTTTCTGAAAATATACTGATTGCTTTCTAAACATACATGGTATCTGTGTAAGATGTTGAATTCTTTTTACTGGTATGTTTTTAAGAAAGATTAATATTTGCCCACATATTTATTATTTTGATATATGAAAAACAAGCTAAGTGATGAAAAAAGAATTTAAAAATAGGAAAAAAAGAGGTATTTTTCTAATGTATGTCCATATATTTTTTATTACTGTTCTGTCAAATCTGATTTTAAATGTACCTAATGATGAGCGTTATTTCTTCTGTGAATGGATCTTTTAGGTTTGGAATCCCATGTCCTAAGTTCTGTGTGAAGACAAAGTCCTGTGTGGCCGAGTTTGCTGACTAATACATGTTGGGTTATATTAATGGGTAAAGAAAAAAGAAGGTGAAGAAAACACCGAGAAATTTTCATGTCAGCAAGCTGTCCACACTATCAGTTTTTCAGTTTCTTTTTAATATATAAAAGATAAGACTGTGATTGGTGAAAGATAAATGTGCAAGGTTCCTATAGACTACTTGCCTAGTCATTATCAATATCCTGTAATTCTCTGTCACTCACATAAAGGAATTAATCTGTAGCTAATAACTTTATCAGGCAGTTTTCTTCCTTATTCAGATATTCATATTATTCAGTATTCTTAGACAGTATCTCTTAATAATGTTAATTTGGTGAAACTAAAAATTACTTTTTAATCAAAGCAAAAAGTAGATTGGTATATTGCAAAAGAGTGAATGTTAAAGATTTATTTAAATTAAAGATATATTTTTCTATGAAAAAACTGTCAGCCAAGTGTGTTTATTCAAATTTCTCAGCACTTTCTGTAGTCTGGATGATCTGAAGCAGTTGCTAATGAAGATGTGGGAGTTGCACTTAGTCCCTATAAATAACCATTGCTTAGGAAAAAATAAAATCCCATAGCCATAATCGATGTATGATTGTTGTGTATTCCTGTGGTCTGCATAGCTAAGTATATTTTAAAAATTTAATGTGATTTATACTTCCCCATCCCAGCTGTAGATAATCATTATACTATATACTGTCAACAAAGCGAAATGTTACTCTGCCAGTTGGAAGACTGTATTCCTTCTGTTTAATGGAATCCTTTTGGTGCTCAGTGCCAGGGGCTGCTTGTTTTGCTCTCACATGTAACACAGCACTTACCCTGCTTAACAGATTTTCTGTTTCTATTAATGCCATTTTAATAAGCAACATAGCAGGAGAATATAGAGTTGAAAGACACAAGATTAACATGTTGCATAAAACTCTGGAAAATTGTGCACTGAAGTCAAGGAAAGGAAAGCCTCTTATTGGAGGAGCTCATCTGTCATTATTGTAATATTTCAGCTGAGGCCAGAGTTGGAAGGGAAATGCACAGTGTCCCTCGGAGAGCGTAGTATCTCCTCTTTGGATCTTTACGCTGAACATTAGTTTGCCATTTAAGCATTTTGAACTTTTCCAAGGAGATTTGAAAGCAGCATAACTGGGGCTCTTGGTGGGTAAAAGCTTTATGTGGAGAGGAAAGGGTTGCCCTGAACAGTTTGCAATTACTTGTACTGGGTGAGTGCTGAAATTTCACTTTCTCCCCCTCAGCGCTGCGGTGGGGGATTGAAGGGCAGAGGCTACAAGGCAGGAAGGAGATGAGAAAGGATTGACCGTGGAGGTGAGAAAGGGCTGATCTCCATGCTTGGTTGGGAAGCATGAAGAGTAGGAGAACTGGCGTGATGTGAGCAATGTTTGTACTTGCAGTGGGGAAGTACGGCAAAAGGACATTCTTTCCGTTACCCCGTCTTTCTTCTCTAGGTTTTTTTTGGCCATGCTCTTAGGGAATAGTAGAGGTGTTCCCAAATGTGGTTAGTACCTACACGCAAAGCAGCGCTCTGGCAAACCAGAGCTGGGAACACGCTCCAGATTAGTCAGACGTGTTGGCAAAATCTAGCTGCAGGAGTTTTCAATGGCTTGTGGGCCTCCACCCATGTGCTGTCTGATGAGCCCAGCCATGCCTGGCAGTCCTCGGTGCTGCTGGCCCAGCTGAGGACTGGCTGCTCCCTCCGTCTCCCCTCAGCTCCAGCTCTTCCTATGACTCCTGGCCTTGGCCGGCAGCAATATTTTTATGTATACAACATGCAGCAAGGATCTCCTCACTCTTCACAGGGGCTGTTTTGCTGCCCTCAGCAGCCTGTCACTCTGTTTTGCCCCAGTTCCTGCCCTGCCTGCTTGTGCTTTTCCCTTTACCCGCCACGCCATGGCCAGGCGTCCGCAGCGATGGCCGGGACCAGTCTCAAAAGCAGCACACGATGTGCTGGGTGCCTCGGAGGAGGCACCGAACGCTTGTAAAGGTTGTGGAATGCAATGTGAAATGGTGGGGATTTAATCCTTGTGCAAAATGCATAAGAAGACAAATCTTACGAGGGAAAATCCTCTCAGTAATTTAGCCAGAGGTTAGATACAGCGAGTCAGAATACAAACTGCAGAGCATTTGTTTCTGCCAGTGGGTCCCAGCATCCTCCTGAACAGGTAA